GATGTAATATAGATCCTATCTTTACTCACCCTGTAAATACTCCCACGCTGCCCCTCCAGTTTCTTCTGGAAGATCTGGGAAATACAAGACCTTCAAAATTCCATAAAAATGCCATGCTGCACATTCTATTAGTACATTTGCATAAGATTTGTGATCCCATCAGAAGGTCCAGTAATGTCACCCTCACCTGGGTGAAGATGCTGGAAGGTTTAAGGCATCTAAATGGTTTCTTTTCACTGGTAATGTGTTTATTTGGGAGGAAGGTTTTTGTGCCAAAGTTGAGGGACCTTGCATTTTAATTTAAGGGGTTAATCCTCTTCATTCTGTAAAAACGCTGTTTGATCCTGCCTTCTCTGATCCTCCCCCTCTTATCTCCTGATTAGATGTACAGTGGAGACACTGCACATGCTCAGTTTGGTGTGTATTGCTAGAGTTTTTTTCCTCCTTGGGGGAGAGTGCATGGAACCAGCACAGGGCCAATCAGCACTGCCCAGACAGGTCTGGGGTTCTGCTAAAAATGACCCTTTTACGGCCAGTTCACACTACATAATGCACTCGGGATACGTTTTTGCTTACAGTTCACACCACATCCTCTGAGAGAAAACCCCTCCTACAAGCTTTAACCAGTGCTCTGCTGAACATTGATAACAGTCACTGCTCTAACTGCTGATGAGAAAAGGTATTTAGCAGTTTATATTTACTAAAATAGTTGCATTTCCATGTTCTGTGGGAGACCAGCTATAGGGAATGCAGGGTCCTGGGTTTAGTAACACTTTAAATGTTTGACTGTTGGGTGACTTACAGTAGAACTATAGGCAAAACCTCTATTTTGTTTTTATTTTTGGTTAAAGAAATAGAGGGTTATAAACCCTGTAAGGTTTATTTTTGCCATCTTTGGCCATGGGAAGGGAAGTGAAGGTAAATCTCTCCAATGGTACAAACAGGAAGTGAGAGGAAATGCTTGCAAATTAAGGAAAATACCTTGGGGATCCCCAGAACTAGTGTCCCCATTGGAATATTTCCCCTCTATTTTCTGGGGACAACCTAACATTTTGAATTTTCTTTTACTCTATTTGTTCTGCTGTTATCAGTTTCCCTAACAGGAACACAGATTGCAATAAAAAAAAAAAAAAGTTAGGTATACTTTAAATACAACCATCCATTCAGATTAAGGCTGGCTTTACACCTATGTAGTGCCATAGCATGTGCTCTACCACAACGCATAGCACTTTGTGTGTTACTCTTCAATGCGGTAGTACTCTTAAGTGAATGACATTGTAACAACCAGTGTACCCACTTTGCATGTGTTAAATAAGAAAATGGTGCAGAGACATTTTTTCGTCCATTGAGGTGCTTTGAGGGGGCTCAAAATGAAACATATTGCACAAAAGACTGCACCTCAATAGAGCTAAAAATGTGAGGCAGACAACGCAGTGTCTGCAAGTATATTTCCCTACCATCTAGGAGTCTCCAGGCACCCCAATGCTTAAAAAGCTCTAATTTGACAGTAGCTCCTGAAGCAGTGCTTTATTTTCTGACGCCTACTGTGTTCACTAGCCAGTGAAGAGATCTGGTCAGCCAGTAGTGATGTGCGGTAGGAGAGCCCAGATGTCACTTAAGGGGTCCAAAGAAGCTCTCAAAAGGTATAAGAACAAAACCTGTGTTTTATTCATCTGCCTAAGGTGCAGGAATTTTAAAATTAGGACATGTTCTAATTTAAATGAGTTCTACTTCAATTATATTAGTAAAGTTTACACTGTGTGCACAATTAGGCAACTGAGTATTTTGACCAAATCATCATTTTTATGCATAGTGTCCAACTCCAAGCTGTATAAACTTGAATGCTTATTGGATTTAATCGTATCAGGTGATGTGCATTTGTGTAATGAGGGAGGGAGTGGCCTAAGGAGATCAACACCCTTTATTAAGGTGTGCATAATTGTTAGGCAGCTTCTTTATCTCAGACAAAATGGGCCAAAAAAGAGATTTAACAGACTCTGAAAAGTCAAAAATTGTAAAGAGTCTTTCAGAGGGATGCAGCACTCTTGAAATTGCTAAGATATTGGGGTGTGATCACAGAACCATCAAATGTTTTGTTGCAAATAGTTAAGAGGGGCGCAATAAACGTGTTGAGGAAAAAAAAAAGATGCAAATTAACTGCCAAAGACTTGAAGAATCAACCATGTAGCTACTAGGAACCCATTATCCGCCAGTGCCGTCATATTCCTGAACTGCAACCTACCTGGAGTGCCCAGAAGTACAAGGTGTTCAGAGCTCAGAGACACGGCCAAGGTAAGGAGGGCTGAAACCAGACCACCACTGGACAAGACACATAAGTTCAAACATCAAGACTGGGCCAAGAAATATCTGAAGACAGATTTTTCAAAAGTTTTATGGACTGATGAGAGTTACTCTTGACGGACCATATGGATGGGCCCATGGCTGAATCAGTACCAGGCATAGAGCTCCACTTCGATTAGATGCCAGCATGTTGGAGGTGGGGTACTGGTATGAGCTTCTATTATAGATGAGCTAGTTGGACCTTTTAAGGTTGCAAATGAACTTAAAATCAACTCCCAAACCCTACTGCCAGTTTTTAGAGGACACCTTCTTCAAGCAGCAGTACAGGAAAATGCATCTTGCAAGAAGACTGATATTTATGCAGGACAATGCTCCTCGCATTCATCAAAGTACTACACTGCATGGCTAGCCAGTAAAGGCCTTAAAGATGAAAGAATAATGACATGGCCCCCTTCCTCACCTGACCTAAACCCTATTGAGAACTTGTGGGCCCTTCTTAAAACGGGAGATTTATGGTGAAGGAAAACAGTACACCTCTCTGAAGAGTGTCTGGGAGGCTGTGGTTGCTGCTGCACAGAAAGTTGATCATCAAAAGATCTAGAAACTGACAGACTCCATGAATGCAAGGCTTATGACTGTTATTGAAAAGAAGGGTGGCTATAGATCACATTTTTTTTTTTTTTTTTTTTAATGTTTATTGGTAAATTTTGAGTGGTTTATTATTCTCATTTTAACAGATGAAAACAAACAAGTTAGATGGGAAAATGTTTTTTCCATTTAGTTGCATAATTGTGCACAGTAATAGTCGCCCAATAATTGTGCACGCATCGATATTCTCCTAGGAAAAGCCAAAAGCTCACCTTTACTTTCTTATATATTCAGGTTTGAGGTTTATTAACATTTTGAATTGATTGAGAACACTATAGTTGTTCAATAATGAAATTAATCCTCAAACATACAACTTGCCTAATAATTGTGCACACATGGTAGTATTGGAACGGGTAAGGAGAAGTTGTGACCTATTACAAGTACAGTATTTCACACTATCCAGTTGCTTTAATTGCAGCCATTTGGTGGAGATATAGTCTTCATTAAAAAAAAAAAAAAGGACACAATTACCATCCTATACGGCTTGTGCTGGTATTCATAAAATTACAGACAAAAAAGAAAATACTATTCACAGAAGGTATAATACATTTTGCCTATGATAGATTTATGCTACAAAATGGGGAAAAAAATAAAAGGAATACAAATTATAGTGAGAATAATATTCCTAAACTGAGCTATACCCAAACTTTCTTTCCTGCTCAAAAATGGTCAGAGCAGTTAAAAAGCAAGGGGCTAGTAAGCCTAAACTGGCACTTAATTTATACAGAAGAGAAAATAAATTGACCTTACTAAGAGAGACCAAAATAAGCCTGCTGAACATCATGTATGGACCCTGATCTTACCTTTGCCCTTACTAATGGATCCCCCAGAATTCTCATGCAAAGGTCTCAGCTAGGCAAGCACTGGGAGGGAGGGAACCATACTCATGTGCACCATAGTTCTAGTAGTAAAGTAGAGTTACAACAGTGGCGTTATTTTACATATTGCTTTTCTTGTTCAGCCACCCCTATCTCAGGTACACTGCCATACACCGACTCTGCTCAGTCTTCAGCCCAAAATGAATTGACAACTATTGCTTGTAGGACTGCACAAGGCTCTGTAGCGTTCAGTGGCATCTATAGTTTCATAAAAGATATAAAAAACCTTTAAGACACTGTAAACACTATTGGCTTTTTTATACAAAGCTAATGTTAGGTTTACTGGTCCTCTAAAGAGCAGATTTTTCCAAAATGAGTTGTTTATATTAAATAGTACAGGGAAGGGTCCCAGGTCCCAACCAGATCTGTATTGCTGTCCGGTACCCCAATGGAGAAAACTCCCACAGCTGTGCAAAAGTCTGCACAGTTTACAAGCGGAGATACGAATGTCACCAATGATATATAGGATTTTTTATATTGCTAAAGAGAATCCACTAGGACGCACAGTATTACTGCTCTCTGGTATATTCTGCATAGTGAGATGTGAATCATTTTAGGCCAATAACAATGGTAACTCAACTGAATATCTGTACTCAGACTGCAGTGAAAATGCCAGAGGAATGGAGTCAGCTTCTCCTCCAATAGATGTCCCAGGAACCAGTAAAAATGCTCTGGAGAATTGTCCCCACCAATTCTATGGTTGAGTCACTATGACTGTGCAGCTACATTATATATATAATATATATATATATATATATATGCATATGAAGGTGTGATTGCCCTGTCCTGACAAAAGTACTTCCAGCAAGACCAAAATTCTATATGGCCCCTTAATTCATCTACTAGTCATAATCATCAATGTGAGACAAAGTTAAGTATATTCTGCTGCTTTCTGACACGCTCAATTGCATCTAATATGTAGCCAAAGTTCTTTCTTCCTATTGGAAAACCATCAAAAAACCCAATCCAGTTTGCAGACAACTAGCTGAACACCAGTTACAGAATTACAAAATGATATATATTGGCTAGTCAGACTAATTATATCATTAATTTGAATCTTCTTCTTTCCACTTAAAATTCATTTTATTAAAATAATGAGTTTCTGCATGGATTTGTACAGCAGTAAACCAGTCTGTATAGTAACTATTGTCAGTCTGCACATCTGCCTGTTCATCAGGAAATATGCTCCTGAGCTCGTCTTGGCACAGTTAGCTGCTCATAGGTAGGAAGGGTGTTACTCGACAGGTTGTTTCCATTATTTAGGGAATTACTTCTGTGAGGCGATCGGCTTGTTGGTTGACCTCCCTGTTGACCGGCAACGAGATGGTGAAGCATGTCAGTTATGAGATTCAGTTTATGGTCCATCTGGGTCACCTAAAGAGGGAAAAAATTAACACTGGAATATCACAAGATATCAGACAATGCTATCACTTACTCCATAGAGACCAGAATTTTTTTTTTCTTTCAGCTATGATGCAGTAACAGATGACAAAGTGATATTTTTGTTGGTTTTTGGTGATGCACATGAATGTATTTTTAAATCTTTCAAAAGGAGAAATCAATAAAAACTTTTTTTTTTACAATCTGAAAAGTGTTACTTTTGATGTGAAATTTTATATTTATTATTTATATAGATATATATATATCTATATAATATATTCTGCAATTTATCATGACACTTAACCCTTAGTTTTTAAGCACTTCTCACAGCAGATTTAGGCACCTACTGGGTATGCAGCTTCTACTTCTTTTAATCCGGGTCAATGTTCTTGTTTAAGCTGGTGCCCCAGATTTCCTGTCTCAGGCAGGATCCTTTCTCTTGCAGTTTCCTATGGTGCCATTCTTGCATGCAGAGACTTGAGCTGTGTCTTCCTACACTGTGTCCATCAATAAAAATACACAGCCTCATAGCCTAGCATAGCAAGGCATTTCCCTGTTCCTCCCCCCTTCTTTCTCCAAAACTAACAGACTGGCTCAGACTACACTGTTCGCTATCAACTCTTTCCTGTGAACACCAGAAATTCAGGGAAGCAGCAGAGCAATCAGGAGCTAGCAGCATTGAAAGTTGTAAACAAAAGTGTGCTGGGGAAAAAATGTAACAAATCGCTTACTAGGGAAAGTGTATTGTGCTCAACATGTTAAAAGTGAAGTATGGCTGGGCAGCACAGTGGCTAAATGGTTAGCACTTCCACCTGGCAGTACTAGGGTCGTTGGTTCAAATCCCAGCCACGGCACCTCCTGCCTGGAGTTTGCATGTTCTCCCTGTGCCTGCGTATGTTTCCTCTGGGTACTCCGGTTTCTTCCTACGCTCCAAAGACATGCTGGTAGGTTAATTGGATCCTGTCTAAATTGGCCCTTGTATATGAATGTGAGTTAGGGACCTTAGATTGTACGCCCCTTGAGGGTTAGGGACTGATGTGAATGTACAATATATATGTAAAGCGCTGCGTAAATGGACGGCGCTGTATAAGTACCTGAAATAAATAAATCTCTTTTGGCCATACTCCTCTTCTGGTCACAGGAGTGCTCTTACTTTTTTTCTCCTCTGACCTAGAATCAACCAACAGGCTAAAGCCTGCTGTCCGCTAACTTCACAGAGCAGGTCCAGGCTATGAAAGCATCCTGACCATATTGTCAGGATCCCCACCCTGATGCCTGATCAGCAGTTGGCTCAGCCTTTCATTGAGCTGACCAAGAACTGAGCTATCAGTGGTCATGTTATTGCTCAGTTCTTAGTCTTAAGCTGGCCACATATGGTTCAGTTTTGAAAAGAAAAAAAAAAAAAAAAAAAAAAAAAACAGATTTCCCCCATCCACCCATTGTATTCTGACAGCGCAGGAGTCAGCTGGACTCCTCTTTGGTCAGAATACACTGATCAGTGCTGCAGTCTATTGGCTGCAGTGCTGATCGAAAGTTGAACAAGCCGTTTCATGAGAAGTTGATTGACTTCTCATGAACTTGAACAGCTATAGATGGACCTAATTTTGCTCCATGTATGGCTAGCTTTAGAGTTGGCAGGGGACAGTTGCAGCATCACACTGATGCTGCAGCCATACAGGTTTTTTCAATTCCCACTGTTTTCTATTAGCATACAAATGCTGAGGGATTAAGTTAAGTTGTATTTATGGTACGAAGTATGGTAAAGCGACTTACATGCTTTATTTTAATTTTGTTAATTTTTTTTTTCCCAACATTAAAATTACAAAATATATTTCTGAACAAACTGATTAAAAGAAAAAGTTAAGTATTGAAGAGTAAAGGTTATTTAAAAATTACCCATGGGTAGAGATGGGAAGGCCTCTAAGAAAAAACTTTTCTCTCTGTTTTTTTCAAAAAGCCATTTTTTGTGTCTTCCCCCCCATCCCGCCCCCCCCGGAAAAATGTGGGAAAAAAAATAAATTAGGAATTTGCCCTTTTACAATGATAGATAATTCTGACAAGGTATTCAAACTAAATTACATGAAGACCTTAATGAAAGATTTATGAGACTTTATGTCTTAAATTATTGCAATTTCTCTCAGCTGAAGACAAGTCCTGGAATACAATTCACGTAACCCTGTACTTCTTAATGCAGTTCTCAAACAAGAGAAATATGCATTTCTGTCACTAGGGGACACTCCAGGGGAAAGGCTCCAGTTTAGTTTGCTTGTGGGCTACATCTTGTACCTCCCACAGTTGGGCGATTGTTGGGACACGGTAGATGATGGTTTCTCTGCTCCTCTCAGGCACTAATTCACAGGCAAGAGGATACATTTATCTAACATTAGTTTATCTTTATAATCTTTGAATGATTCCTATGAATGTTCTCCACCATCACATCATAATGTTTACCTATAGTCTGGTTAGTAATTAGTTTTTTTTTTTTCTCCTCTCAGTAAAATGGTGAGACCAACATCTAGAGTTTGGAAACATTTCCACAGTGCAATTTCTGCTGAGAGAAAAGCTGCAAATTGCAAATATTGTGAGAAGAAGTATTCTTTTCCAAATGCTACAAGTAAGACAAAACACATCCTGGCATGCCAGAGGTCCCTAAAGACATTAAAAATACTTTATGGAATGAAATGAAAGTGCAAGTAGCTTTTATCTCGAGTTCATTCTAGAAGCCCTTTCTGCCACTTCTGGATCATCACAAGTTTTAAAAAGCAAGTTTAGTTTATTGAATAAGCTGTAGTTTTCAAGGATAATACTTTTACATACACTGCATTTTACATTCTCAGTGTAACCAGATTCATTTCAACTTGCAAAACTTCACACTGAATTTATTTAAATTTTTCCCCAAAAATTTAATTTGAGAAAAAAAAAACAAAAAAAAAAAAAAAAAAAAACAGGTTAATCTGTGATAGGGAATAAAAAATATATTTTTTTCTGCAGCAGCATACTGCAAAGTATCAAAATTGGTATGTTGCATCAGTCATTGCTTCATGTAATACACAGTTTACAGTTTAGTTTGTTCATTGAAGGCCTCATGCACACAGGGCGTTTGCCTAGCTCTCCTAGATGCCTTTCTACCTGGTAGCGGCATTTTGACAGAAAAACTGCCTGATGCATGTAAATGCACCTACATACATTTAGGTGTGTCAAGCATTTGCGCATAATCTATTTTGTCAGAAATATAATTTATTTTGGCCAGTGAAATTAATTGATGCTCCGGCGCCTGACATGCCTAGTGTTAGCGCGCGTTTAGACACATTTACAAACGGTGAGCATTTTTTCTGCTAAAACATCGCTGTTCCTGGACACGCTGGCATTGGCAGCATCATGAGTAATTTCCATGCTACTTGGAGTTCTTGAAAGAGGGATAAATGGACTGCTGCTATAACCATCATGCAGAGAGAGGAATAGCTCATTAATTATAACTGAGGTGGTGCTAAAATGTTGGCATCAGATGTTGCAATGCAGTGGCAGATTGGGCAGCAGAAACTGCTTAGTGGCTCTAAAAGGTAGGATGTTGTTTTTTTTTTACCTTAATAAATTCTATGTAGTGAAGGATAGGTTCACCTTTCAACAAAAAATAATAAAAGCACATTTTGCAGGTATTTTCATTTACTATTTTTTGTGGTAGGGAGCCTCTAAAGCATTGCATCTACGATCACCAGATTGCTGGTGCCATGCAGGTCTCCTGCAGACCTGTCAGTCTGTTTGCTTACTAGTACCTCGTACAGGCAAGCCAATACTTGCGGACATGAAGAATCAAACTACCACAGTGCCACAGTGCCATGGTAGTTCATTGAGAACTAGAAGGCGACAGCCACTAAGGCTGTCAGGCCATGTCACTCATTCATGGTGTGAATGAGAAACTACAAGTCCTGACAGGTGGAGCCCTGCACTGCTGTGTATTTTAACAGCGGGGGGAAGAAGCTAGCTGTCAAAGCGGGGGGGGGGGGGGGGGGGGGGGGGGCAGTCATCCCCCCATCACTTACCTGACATCACTCTCATCCCTATCTCTATCCACAGAGCTCTCATCTCTGTCCCCACCAGCAGCCCTGCTTTGCGCTCTTCCTGCATTCACGGGCTTTACTGAGAGCAGCAGGAGCCATCCAGTAAGGAGAGAGTGGGGGCAGGGCTAAACTGCACTGTATCTGTCTATAGATGCACACAGCCCAGCCTGGGATGGTGCCTGCATGAGTTTCCCCCATAGCAAGCAGCTTGCAATGGGGGCACTCAGAAGAGAAGCTTAGAGTGGAGGAGACACTGGGCCACTGTGCAATACTATTACACACAGCAGGTAAGTGTACCATGTTTGTTTTTTTTAGTTCAAAAGTAATTATAAAGCTATTTTTTTAACCGGTTTGCCTACCAGCCACAGTACATATACTGCGGAAGGGCGGCACCGCTGTGCAAAATCACGTTTATAAACGTCCTTTTGCATATCAAGTAGGAGGCGCGCGACCACCCTACCCACGCCGACGATCGTGGCTGCGGATGTCAATCTCCAGGTCCCTGCTGGTCATTACCCGCTGGATCCCGGCGATTGTCGGCAAACAGTGACACAGAGCACAACTGCATTGTTTTCAATGCAGCTCTCCTCCCTGTCAGTTCCCAGCACGCTGTCCCCCGGAGAGCAGAGATTAGCTTTCTGGGACATCCTGCAACAGTGAAGCACACACCCCCCCCCACCTCCCACTAGTAAAACACTCCCCTCACACAGTTAACAGTTGGATTGTCTAAAAAAGTTAACCCCTTCCTCCCCAGTGCCATTAGTACAGGGTCTGGTTTTTTTTTTTTTTTTTTTGCACTGATCACTGGGGATGTCAGTGACCCCAAGTCCGTTCCCCCCCCCCCCCCCCAGTGTCAGAATATCGGCCGCAGTCCCGCCATAAGTCGCTGATCGCCATCATTATTAGTTTACAAATGGCGGTATAGATACTGGATTT